ATTCCCCCGGTCTCACCCTTGAGAAGCAGAAACCTAGGCACCAGGGAAAAGACGCACCGGACGGGAAACCCGATGCGGTACTCGGGGATCATGTCCTGGACCGAAGGGAAGCGCTCGACCGCCGTGCGACCCATGCGTCACCACGTTTTTTTTTTTTTTTGGAAGGTTTGTTTGTATGTATGTATGTATTTGCTTACTATTGATTGATCGATTGATTTATCAGACAGAGACGGAGAGATGGAGAGACGGAGAAGCAGGCTCCATCCAGGGCGCCTGACGTGGGACTCTGAGCCCGCGTCTCCAGGACCACGCCCTGGGCTGAAGGCAGAGCTCGACCGCTGGGCCGCCCGGCCTTTGCCGCAACTTTGCCCCCCCCTTTTTTTAAGGCTTTTCTTTCTTCTTTCTTTCTTCTTTCTTTTGAGATACAGAGAGGCAGAGACACAGGCAGAGGGAGAAGCAGGCTCCACGTGGGGAGCCCGATGCGGGTCTGGATCCCAGGACCCCTGGGATCAGGCCGTCAGCCAAAGGCAGACCTTCCACCGCTGAGCCAGCCACCCAAGGCGGCCCAGAAGCAGACTCTTTGAAAACTAATTGTGTGGTCAGGACGGACTGAGATTGGGAGAAGTGGGTTTTCCTAGTACACTGCTGTACAACTGAGATTTGGCTCTCCTCTCTGCTAAAATGACGAGATTCTCTTCATTGGTAGTCTACTCGTGATAAGAGTGTGAACAGAGAAGAAAAGACAAAGACAAGGTGTTTTTTGTTTGGTTGGCTTGGTTTGGTTTCGTTGGGTTTTTCTGGTTTGGTTTTTGGGGTTTGTGTGTGTGTGTCTGTGTGTGTGTGTTTTTTCTCCCATTACCTGCGCAGAACAGCAAGGATTTTAGATTCCTTTTTACTTTTTTGGTTGTTGTTGAACTTTTTTTGTTATTTATTTTTTGGATTCGTTTTTATCCGGCCTTCCCCTACGTAAGAGTGAAAACTTCTCCACGCGAAAGGAGCTTCCTTTTGGGGAAAACTCCAAAAGCACCTGTAGAATCTCCTAGGGGCCACCTTGGCGAAAGAGACACTGAAGATTTCCGTTTTGTTATGATCCGTGATCCTTTGTAGCATGTGCCTTGAGAACTTCCGAGATGTTTTTGGTTGGCTGGTTGGCTGCCTGGCTGTCTGTCTGTCTACCGGTTCCTTCATCCGTTCGCGGATTCTCAGCGCATCCCAGAATGCCAAACCCTAAACGGAGTCTCTTGACTACTATAGGTCGTTGACTTGTTATGGGCAGGCACGTGAGCAGCGCTGTCAGACAAAGAATCCTAAGCCCTCTTAGATTATGTTGCGTGAGTGAAGGCTGCCGGTGTTCCAAACGCGAAATGAAATTCCTAAACGTGTAACGTGTCCTGGTAGAGCCATCACTCCACATTCGAGCTGTGTAAGTGCTCTGCGTGCGTGCGTGCGTTGTGTGTGACAGAAACTGGTCGGATTTTCCTCTCGACTGCATTATAGTGAATTCTCACCGGCTCTTTAGGCACGGCCCTCCGTGGGTGACCTCCCCGTCCCGTGCAGGTGTTGTTCGGAAGGTCTTGCAACAATCCGGTCCGCCGTTCAGGAGATTCGCGGAGAGGACTCCGGACGAATCCCGGTGTCTGGTCACCCTGAGATGGTCCAACTACAGACAGTAGGAGTTGCCAGAACTAATGAAAAAGCTGCATGGAAACCGAACAGAAAGGAACAACGTGGAACGGAACGAGTTCCCCGAAACCCGGAGCAGAGTTCAGAAACTCTCCGTGAGGCATCTTCCCTTTCTTTGGCGATTGTTAACTCCTCTTCAGAAGGTCGGTCGGTGGGAATCCGTTCTCCTTGTAACCAGACACCGTTGGAAGGATCCGCTGTATCACCGAGGCCTTCCCTGAGTAGAAAGGCGTCTGCTTTCCTTTCTTTCGACCTCCCCGGGTCCCCACGCCGCCCTCCCCTCCCCTGCCGTCCCTCCCCCCCCCGGGGCCCATTTGTCAAAGGGATCTCTACTCCCAACGTAGGGCTCGCACTCACGACCTGGAGGTCAAGAGTCGTGCTCTCTACTGACCGAGCGGGCCAGGGGCCCCTGGAATCGCATCCTAAGACTCAGATAGGATCAGGCAGCCTGGAGACACTCAGATCCACTTCTCGGGAGCCAGCCGACCCCTCGGAAACCCTGAGCCTGATACCTTCCTTCCAGAGGCCGCCACGGCCTCACTGGGCGAGTCAAGGGCGCCACCTCCTGGCGGACGAAACCGAGACTCAGCTGCTTAACCCCAGCGAGCCTCCCAGGTGCCCCTACCAGCTGCTTGGAAATGCCGAGGTTCTTCCCTCTTGCCTTGCTTTTGCAGGGATGACGACGGTGAGTGACCGCGTCTGTCTACCTGGTGAGGAAGAAACAATTCCAGGTGGCTGAACCCTGGTTCTCCACACTGCGGACGACAGGATATCACCCCCCCCTCTTTCGACCTGACCCAGGAATTCCCTTGCTCTGAGCCAAGGACAGGGTGGGGGTTCTTATTGTTTTTGTTGTTGTTTGTTTTTGTTTGTTTTGTTTTCCCAGTTGTGGTAAAAAAAAAAAAAGAGACGTCACCTACAATGGAATGTTGTAGTCGTTTCTTTTCTTAAAAAAATATTTTATTTATTTATTCATGAGAGACACAGAGACAGAGACACAGGCAGAGGGAGAAGCAGACTCTATGTAGGGAGCCTGACGTGGGACTCGATCCTGGGTCTCCAGGATCAGGCCCTAGGCTGAAGGCAGACGCTCAACCGCTGAGCCACCCGGGGATCCCTGGACGCTCAACCGCTGAGCCACCCAGGCGCCCCATACATACTTAAGTTATTGAGAGTTCGTTCCTTCATTGTGCATCATCTCTAGACCCAACGTAGGGCTCGAACTCACAACCCTGACTGCAATCAAAAGTTGAGTGCTCTTCTGACTGAGCGGGCCGGGGGGGGGGGGCGGCGGGGCCGGGAGCTTCTGCCCTTTCATGTTCACCCAAGCGCCCCAAAAACGGACTTTAAAAAAAATAGAAAATCCGAATAGTTCTCCAATCACTAAATAAATTGAACCAGTGATCAGAAATCTTCCCATATAGAAAACTTCACAGTCAGGTGGCTTTCAGGCAGTTGTGCCAAATATTCAAGGAAGAAGTAATTTCAGTCTTACGAAACTTCTTTAAAAACAGAATTAGAAAGAACACCTGTAATTTGCTTTACAGGTTAGCATAACCTTAATGAAAAAGCCCACCAAGAATGACAGGGGACATTCTTACTCATGAACACAGATGAAAAACACAGGAAATATATATATGCATACACACTTTCTCTCTCTCTCTCTCTCTCTCTCTCTCTCTCTCTCTCACACACACACACACACACACACACACACACACACCCCACACAAACTGAATCCAGCGATGTATAAGGATAATACATCATGAAAGACTGGAGTTTACTCTAGGAATGCAAAGGTACTTCAGGAAACTGATTAACTCAATTTTACATATCAAAGATGGAAAAAAATCATATGATCATCTCAACAGATACAGTAAAAGTATTTGATAAATGCTCTCAAGCATGATGAAAACTCACCAAGTAGTAATATAAAGTGACTCTGTTAAGTTGATTAAGAATAGTTACAAAAACACCTCCAGCGAATCCCATAATTTACTGATGAAACTAAGAGTGTTCCTCTTGAAATCAGAAACACGGGCAGGAAGTCCACTATTGTCACCTCCAGTGAATGCTGCACAATAAATTCCAATAAGCACAGGAAGACGAGAAAAATAAGGATATAAAAACTGAAAAGAAAATTTTCACTACTCATAGACTTAGGATTCCATAACAGAAAAAATACAAAAGGAATTAGAAATACGTTACTAGAATTAAGTGCTTTGGCAACGTCGCTGAACACAAAAGCAACGGTACTTCCAAATACCAGCAATAGGTAACACAAAAAATAAAAGATAGTCACAATGTTATATAAAATGCAAGGGAAAAATCTATAAAGTAATACATGTAAAACCACTGTGTGAAAAGTGTAAAATTTAATTGAAAGACAGTAAAGACCTAAAGAAATATGTCATATTAATGACTGGAAGACTCCATATCATAAAAATGTAAATTTTCCCCAAAGTGATCTTAGAGATTCCATGAGTCCAGTCAAATTCATGAAAATTTTGAGGCACCTGGGTGGCTCAGTCATCAGTTAAGCATTGGCCTTTGGCTTAGGTCATAGGAATCATTCTTAGGAATTGAGCCCTGTGTCTCCCTCTGCTCCCTGCTCATGCATGCTCTTGCTATCTTCTGTGTCTTTCTCTCAAATAAATAAAATCTTTAAAAAAAATTTATGAAGGTTTTGTGAAACTTAACTAGCTTATTCTAAAATTTATGGGAGGGGCAACCCGGGTGGCTCAGCGGTTTAGCGCCCCCTTCAGCCCAGGGCGTGATCATGGAGACCCGGGATTGAGTCCCATGTCAGGCTCCCTGTAGGGAGCCTGCTTCTCCCTCTGCCTGTATCTCTGCCTCTCTTTTTCTTTCTCTCTGTGTGTCTCTCATGAATAAATAAATAAAATCTTCAAAAATTAAAATAAAATTCATGGGAAAGTACCAGGGCTGTAAAGAGCCATGGCAATCTTTAAAAATAAAGCAAGTGGAAAAAAAATAAATAAAATAAAGCAAGTGGGACTAGCTCTCAGAGATACAAAGCTAAGTAGTATAAATTTATAGTATAAACTACTATAAACTTTATAGTAATTTAGACCATGATGTAATGGTATGGTGATGGACAGAAAGCCTAACTGAGCAGATGAGTGCCCAGAACTAGACCTGTGCATTTGGACATCTGATGGATGAGAGTGGTTCTGTAGGTAAAATACAGACTATATTGTAAGGTGATGCTGGAAAAAAAAAGTATAATGTAATCCTTACCTCATGTCATACACAAAAAGCTCTTCTAATTAGGTTAAAGACCTAACTAGGAAAAGCAAAGCTATATATGAGGTATTTAGAAGACAATATAGAACAAAAGCTTTAAGCTATCTTTCCTTGATATGAGGTCATAAATCAGTAATAAAAAGTAGAATACATAAAGGAAAAAAATTAGTCACATTAGAGTTAACTTTTATTAATGAAAAAGTACCATCAAGAATGGGAAAAGCTAAGCCACATCCCTTGGAAAAGATATTTAACCAACAGGAATTGGTATCCAGAATATGTGAAGAATTCCTATGAACTGATAATAATGGGCAAGAAGACTGACATGCAAACAGTAACTACAATTCATGCTTAAGGTCTATTAAATTAGCAAGAATTGGGGCACTTGGGTAGTTCAGTGGTTGAGCCTCTGCCTTTGGCTCAGGGCGTGATCCCAGGGTCCCAGGATTGAGTGCTGCATCAGGCTCCCTGCGAGGAGCCTGCTTCTCCCTCTGCCAGTGTTTCTGCCTCTCTCTGTGTGTCTCTCGTGAATAAATACAATTTTTAAAAAAAATTAGCAAGAATTAGCAAGCCTGACAAAATTAAGTATTGCCAAAGATGCAAAACGATCTCTTTCACAGTACTGGAGATGGTCCACTTTTGAAAGGAAACTGAATGTATATACAACTGATGGCCCAGTATTATTACTCCTAAAGAAATTCTTGCACGCGTAGATATGTAAAGCAGTATTCATGACAAGATTGCTTCTGATAGCAAAAGCAAATAACAAAAAACTATTAACAACCCAAGCATCTATAAACAATAGAACTACTGAATATTTAGTATATTCAGAGTGGAATACTAGTTAGTAATAAAAATGAGTTTTGAGACTAACATGAATGAATCTCAAAAATGTAATAATGAAAGAGAATATATAATATGCATATACATTCAGAAAAAGGCAAAACTAAAGTCTTTTGGGTAGAGATACATATACAGTAGGGAAAATGAAGAATAACGAGTGAAAAATCATCATAGAAATCAGAATGGTTACTGTTATGGGGAGTGAGGGTGTGTGATCAAGGAGTGGCATACATCTAGAGGTCTTTCACTGATAATGTTATCTTAATCTGGGTAGCTGGTACACTTCATCTAGGTAGCTGTTTGCTTTATAATTCATTAAATTACACGATTACATTTTATATACTTTTAGTATTTATGGTAGTTTGCAACAGAAATTAATTTGGCACATTTTCATTTGACTTTTGGTAATAAAATACTTTATTGGTACCGTTTAATGTCAAAAAACACAGTAATACTGTTTCCGTTGCTTAGCTTCCATTTTTAAGTTAAGGCTCATTTAAAAAAAAAAGAAGAGAAAAGGTAAAATCATTTGATTCTATCAAAAAACAAGCTGCAAACTTACCTGTGCAAATAATTAGGTTCTTCCACTTTAAATACCTAAATTCACTGGTCTTCATAATAAATAATGGTATATAAGATGAGACATTGGTCTGAATAATTCTGCAGAGAACATTTTACACATCTTTAAAAAAGTCTAAATGCTACCCAACTTAAAACTTGTAAGAATAATTTGTAAGAGTTACTGTAAAATGAATTCATGTAGGCACCAAGAAATTTGGGATTTTTAATATTTCAATTTTTTTCTTTAATTTTTTATTTATTTATGATAGTCACAGAGAGAGAGAGAGAGGCAGAGACACAGGCAGAGGGAGAAGCAGGCTCCATGCACCGGAAGCCCGATGTGGGACTCGATCCCGGGTCTCCAGGATCGCGCCCTGGGCCAAAGGCAGGCGCCAAACCGCTGCGCCACCCAGGGATCCCCGATTTTTAATATTTCAGATGATATGATTTACTGAGTACAAAGAGTATGATTTTTCTTCGTGAATTTGTGTTTATATACAAATAGAAAGGATACAAGATAGGCTCCTTTTAAAAGCCAAAGATTCAAAATCTGTGAATGACTTTTACCATATTTCCAATTTCTGGATCTAGCAAGGGACCCTATGGTAAAAGATCCATGTGTGATAAATAACATAGTACAGTCCTATCTGAATATCACTTCTTATTCATCTTGCCTCATTAATATAATTTATACCTCAATTAAAATATTCTATCTGCAAACAATATATTTATCTAAAACATTTTGTAATTCAGATTGCCATTCAGACCACCTTCTCCTCTGCCTCTTTTCTCAAATCATTGTAATTTTATGGTACACCTCATTACATTTTTTTTTCTCCCTTCAGTGAAACTGTCAACTCAAAGCACCACATTATTACAAACACAGATATAGCATATATTAACATACTAGAAAAAAAGATAATACATATGGATCTATGCTAAATGAGACAATGCAAACCAAAAAACACACAACACCATGCTATGTTCATCTATTCTGAAGCACTGCAAGAAGGCCCTGATAGCACCCTGGCTCATGTAAACTGATGTTCCCAGATATCACTAGTGCCCTGTACTCCAACATAATTAAATGTTCTATTAAAGACATTTCCACATTTGTTTGCTTAAAACAATCTACAGCAGCTTTGACTA